AAATATGAGTGTTTTATTAATAGTAGTGGATTCTAATGAAAGCACATTATATAATTCGTATTCCAACTGAACTTCTACTTTCTGATTTACTAGTAACATTTTTAATTTTTCCATTTCCATAGAATTTAATAGGTATTTCGGGACTATTTTTAATTTGGCAAATAGTAGGCTTTCTGCTATATTTTTTAAGTGATTGTAAAGTAAATCTATGTTGAAATTAATCCTGTCTATATACTGGATAAGTTGAATGTTTTTCTGTTCCTCATCTATTTGTTTAAAGATTTTATTCTGGTATGAATTTACAAAATTGCCTATAAGCTCTTGCTCCCTGTTAATGTAGTTAGTTATTTCCTCAAATCTTATACGTGTTTCGTTTTGGAAAATAAGGTTCGTTTCGGAATTACTGCGCAAGGCCTCTAAGTCTTTGTTTATTTTTGCCTCGTCATAGGCGTCCATATTTCCTGAAACTATTTTAACTATGTGGCCTAATCCATTAATTAATCCTCTCCTGGGCCTATTACCCCCATTGTTGGGAAGCAAGGAATTTAGTCTTTGTTGAACTTGAGATAATTTTTGATGTAAAGTTAGTTTCAAATCTTCAAAACCCTGTTCGTCGGGTAGGTTTCCTATCACCTCCTGTATTTTAGCTGCCGATTCCTCATAATTTTTTAGGTGAATTACATGTTTAAATATTTTAAATGATTTTACCACTCTCGCTGTACCCAGGGTGATTTTTAAAAGGGGTTGGTCTTTATCCAATATTTCGCTAACGAGCCGTTGAGTTGTTCCCAAGGTCAATCTGTAAAATTACATTGAGAGTATGATTAACCAAGTTTCGCAAGTATGCTTATGTGTCATTTGTCTGTATTACAGCTCTCCTAACTTTTTGTTTGTGTAGTTTGTTTGTGTAGTTTTTGTTTCCTTATTGTTCGTAATGTTACTCCGCTGTCCAGTAAAACCTTATGCTTACTAAAACGAGGTGTGATTTTATTTCTCCTATTTTCCTTGCGAAAAATAGAAGTTCCAACCGGTAAGTCAGGGGGGGTTGTCCTGTTCTCGTTTAAGCGATCTATTCGTCTTTTCGTTGCGTCCGCCATGTGTTTCTTTAAGGTCGGGTATAGTTCAGTTTGGAATTCGTTAAGTTTTTGTAGGTAATCGTGTTCACTGTCGAATTTGATTGTTTTTTCAAAGATGTGAGTGCGGCCACTAAAAAGTTCGAATGGAGTTAAATTTGTACTAGAGTGGATCGCATTGTTGTAGGTTATTATGGTTTCGGAAAGTATCTCATCGTGTTCAATGGTTAATTTTAATTCCTTTCTCTTACTCAAAATGATTCTATAAATCTCTGTTAGAGTGGAATGTAAACGTTCTACTACAGAATTACTACTGGACTGTTGAAAGGAAGTAATATGAAGTTCTATTTCGTATTGTGCCAAGAAGTCTTTGAAAATAGCACCAGAGAACTCGGCCCTCTGATCAAGTATTATTTTCTTGGGTATTCCAAACTGGCAAAAGAAGGTTTTAAAGGCTTTGATAACAAGAATTGAGTTTCTGTTGGTTAACTGGTAGGCTTGAGCGAATTTGGAGAATTTATCAATAATTGTTAAGTTATAATTATTATTGATAGTATATATGTCCGTGTGTATTATTTCTAGGGGCCTGTTCGGTATTTCTGGTAAAACAAATGGTGGTTTTTGTCGACACCTAGCGTACTTAAGTGTAAGGCAGGTTTCGCAATCCCGGATTGCTTGTGAGATTAGAGATTTTAGTTGGGGTACGTAAATTTCCCTTTTTAGATGCTGGTACATCTCTTCCACACCTCTATGATTGTTGTTAGAATGATGAGTTTTTATTAGGCAGTTAATTTCGTTCGGGTCGATAGGCTCGTGTAAGAGAATGAGACATCTGTAAATCTTATACAAACCGGAGTCTGCGAAATATTTGGTGTAAGCATTTTGAATTATATCGAAAATTTCGTCGGGTGAATGAACTGCCAAGTTCTTGTTTGGTGTTAAAATTTGTTTTAAAATATCTGTGATTCCTTCTAAGGTATAAGACGGTTCCGTTATACGTGTCCGTGTTTTATTTTTAGATGGATTGCTCGTTACAAATGAGGGGGTCTGGCCGATTTCGAATATAACTTGTGTGTTGAATGTGTTAAGTGCCTTTTGGGCTACTGGGATACTAGGTGAAATGGTGCAGTCGCCGTCGTTGGCAAGTATGTTTGGCTCAATTCTACTCAAAGCATCGGCAATGACGTTTTGTGAGCCTTTTTTGTAGACAATATCGTAATCGTACTCAGAGAGGGTTAGTTTCCAACGAAGGAGCTTCGGGTTTTGGCCCTTAAAGTTTTGTAACCATACTAAGGGCTTGTGATCTGTAATGATTCTGAATTTGTTGCCATACAAATATGGGCGAAAGTACTTAACTGCCCAGATTATTGCTAACATTTCTTTCTCTATAGTTGAATACCGGGTTTCCGCTTCATTCAAGGTTCTACTCGCGAAACAAATTGGTCTGTCGGACCCGTCAGGGCCCTGGGAGAGAACGGCACCAATGGCGAAGTTACTTGCGTCCGTAGTGAGAGAAAATGGTTTTTGGAAGTTTGGGTGTTGCAAGATCGGGTTGTTTGTTAGAAGAGTTTTGCAAATTTCAAACGCCTCTATAAATTCTGCATCTATAATGACGGATTTGCCACCCTTAAGCTGGCGAGAAATGGGTTTCGTTATTCTAGCAAAGTCCTTTATAAACTTCCTATAATAACCCAATAATCCTAAAAAGGATTTTATTTGTTTAGCAGTTTTTGGGCAAAGGAAATTTTTCACCGCTGCTATTTTGTATGGGTTTGGTTTGATACCATCCTGTGTGATTACGTGTCCCAAGAAATCGATTTCTTTTCTCAAGAAATTTGACTTGGTGATTTGAATTTTTAGATTGGCTTGGAGTAATCTCTGAAATACAGAGTTTATGTCCATTAAGTGTTTTTGGAGGGAGGCAGAGAATATAATGATGTCGTCAAGATAGACTAAGCAGATGTCTCCTATTAATTCGCCTAGTACATTATCCATTACTCTTTGGAAGGTAGCTGGGGCGTTTTTCAGTCCGAAGGGCATTCTCGTGAATTCGTAATGTCCGTTTTCCACCGAGAAGGCTGTTTTGGCCATGTCCCTGGGGTCCATCTGGATTTGATGAAACCCGCTAGCCAAATCTAAAGTGGAAAAATATTTGGCCCTTCCGATGTTGTTAAGAATTATTTATTTATTTATTTATTCGCCAATGGATATATCCTTATCTGGCTATTATCTAACTTAACTTAAAACTAAGTATTAATTAAGTATTCATTAAAAAGTATTCCCTAAGTAATTGCCTAAGCACATCCTTCTTGGATCCCCAAACCAATCGAATTCTTAGTGGCAAAGAGTTAAAAAGTCTAAAAGTTCTTAAAATTGGCTCGTTACGCGCATAGTTAGTCCTCGCAGCACTTTCAAAGAATGGGATGAAGGTACGGAGACTCCTGGCAGGGATATTGAATTTAATTGAGCTTAATATTAAAGGACTATCTATATTACCAATTATAACATCATTAATAAATAGCAAGCTCGCTATCGAACGGCGATCTTCTAGACTGCAGGTATGCAGAAGGCAACATTGGCTAGAGTAAGCTGGCAAAGGTTCCGAAAAGTTTAACGGCTGAAGTGCAAATTTTAGGTACTTTTTCTGCAGCCTCTCAATTCTATTGATATGGACAGCACTTGACGGGTTCCAAATAAAGGAAGCATATTCCACTCTTGAACGCACAAAAGCTGAGAACACTGTCAGTCGTGAGAACGGGTCCTTAAAAAGTATGGTGTTTCTTTTGACAAATCCGAACATTGCATATGCCTTCGGCAGAACATGGTTCATATGGTTAATGTCGTTAATATTGGGGATCGGATACCTGTCGGAGATGGTTTTTTCGTTCAGTTTCCTGAAATCTATTACCAATCTCCACTTCTTTTGTTCGGGGGAGTCAGATTTTTTTGGAACTACCCACACGGGGGCACCCCAAGGGGAGTGGCTGTTTTTTATAATATTTTGTTCAAGCATTTTGGATATTTGTTTTCGGACCTCCTCCTTATGTATATATGGATATCTGTACGTTTTGACATGTATTGGTATGTTGTCGGTGGTCGGGATAGGGTGCTTGACCGTGTTGGAAAATGTGAGAGGTGTCGCGTCATCATAGAAAAGATCTTGAAATTTTTTGCAAATTTTAACCAGCCCTTGTTTTTCCTCGTCCGTTAGATGGTCCATTAAAATTTGTTCGCTAAGATTGCCCCTTATTTGTTGGTAGCTTGGGTTGAGTGTTACCCCGTTTATTTGGTCGTAACATTCTTTGTTATATGCTAGTACCTTCAATGGTTGGTCGAGGCATAGGATCTGTCCTGTCCCGGAATTGTTAGTTATTTCGAAGAAGCTATGGCCGTCTGAGGCTGTGTAAAGTCCCCCGAACACAGAAAGGTTGCTGTCTACCTCTAATGAATTACAGAGAAAGTCACCTTCCATTAGATTTACTGGTAGTTTGATAATGGTTTTACTTTGGGGCTGGATAAAAAGTTCGTCTGTTCCTCTATTAACTTCTGTAATAATGTTGATTGTGGTGAATGGGGTTTCGATTTTAAGTTCCTCAATATTAATCTTTACTTTCCGGTCTGTTAGGAAATCCATTCCAAGAAGACCATCAAAGTATGGGTGGAATTTGAAAAGTAGTAACTGAATTTCTCCATGTTCTTTAAATTCTATTGGTATGGGTAGTACAGCCCTTAAGGTCAGCGAATAACTTTCCAGTACTGTTGTGATTCGGACATCATTTTCTAATTTTTGTATGTCATCTTGCGGGATAAGGCTTGGGTCTACAAAAGAATAAGTGGAACCTGTGTCGATGAGGATTTTTAGTGGTTTTGGGGAATAGGATAGAGTGATAACTATATATGGAAGAGATAGACCGTGCGTTTTTTTGTTTATGTAACCGACTTGTCGGTCGAGGCTTCTTGTTGAAAATTTGAGCTGTCGTCAATGTTGTTAAAATTGGGAGCAGGCCTGCGTGAGGTACTGCTACGATTTTGATCAGTATTATTTCCTCCCATTCTATTGTCGTTATTCTGCCTGTTGTTATTGAAATGATGCTGGCTTTGGTTGGGGCCCTGGCGGAACGGGTTTCCCGAGGAATAGGAATTTCCACGATAATCTTGCCCGTAATTATTGGAAGAGTAGTTATTTCGACCAACGGAGTTGTTCTGGTACGAACCCCTCTGATAGGGTCTATTGCGGTCTGAGTTGAATCTATTGTTTTGTAGTTTGTTTTGTTTTTGATAAATGAAGTTCTGCTCAGCTTGGCACCACTCGTAAGCTGCCTCGATCGTTGTCGGATTCCAGGCTCGGATGACCGCTCTGAGTGGATCTCGTAGCCCGACGAGGAAGGCGTTAAGGCAAATTCCATCATAAAGAGCATTTTTTGATGCTGCACTTACACCGTGGTCTGGGTCTGCGGGGAGTGACAAAAGTTCGCTACGGAGTCTTGTGATTTCGAAAAATAATTTACCCAGGGACAAACTAGCGGGAAGGTTCTGAATTTCGGCGATGAGTATTGGTTCTGTCTTTTTGCAGGCATACATACGCTTCAGATTTTCCCTGATACTGTCCCATTCTAGTTTGGTGTCCAAGATATTCAGGGTCTCGTCCGCTTTTCCTATAATTTTGTTTCTCAAGGTTCTTAGTAGTTATTGTCCGTACGGGGTCTGGTCCGTTCCCCTTATTAGCATAATAATTTCCTCAACGCTTACAATAAATTTCTGGAGGGTACCTGGGGTCCCTTCGAAAGTAGGCAATTGTTTGACGAAGGCTAATATATCGGTTGGGTTAAGAGTGGTATTTAGGGTTGTGGTTGACGAAGTGTTTAGAATGGTACTAGCATTTATGTGCTTTAAAAGGAGAGGTGTAAAATTATAAATTGTGTGGAAAAGGAAAAAAAAAAAATCGTATTACTTATATTTTCTCGTGTAGCTAACTTAATAAGAAAACGTTTGTGTAAATGTCGTATGTGTAATTAAAAAAAAATAAATATATATAATTTTTGCTTGTATATAGGTAATTTTACGTGTAAATTTATATACGGGTGTATGGCTTAGTCTATGCTAATAGTTACGGAAATTTGTGTCGTTGTATTACGCTGAGAATCTGTAAAACTGACATAAAATGTGTGTGTGTGTGTACTTTTTTTCCTGTGGTAACCATGGGGCAAAGTAATTATTCAATCCGTTGGTGAGGCAATGATTACTAAGATTACTGTGTGCTTCTTTTGCAAATTGTTATTTGATTTTACTCTTAAATTATAGTTGAAATGCCAACAATGTAAGTAGTTTAGGGCTTTTTTCCTTTCAACGATTTCATCGACGAGTTTGTATTCTTTTCTGCAGCATTGTAGCTTATTTATGATTTTTTTTATTATCTTTTGATGATGTGGGTGTGGAAATCAAATTTTCAGTGTACGTTTTGCTTGGAGTATTTTAGGTTGTACATATCTGTAGAAATGCGCGATGCATTTTGTGCCGATCAGCAATTGATGGTCACAATTGATACAGATATATAATAAAAATGTGTATAAAAATCTTTATTTATATTTCTTTTAAGCATGTCGTTTTATATATCTATAATAATGCGCGATGCATTTTGTGCCGATCAGCGATTGATGGTCACAATTGATATAGATATATAATAAAAATGTGTGTAAAAATCTTTATTTATATTTCTTTTAAGCATATCGTTTTATATATCTATAATAATGCGCGATGCATTTTGTGCCGATCAGCGATTGATGGTCACAATTGATATAGATATATAATAAAAATGTGTATAAAAATCTTTATTTATATTTCTTTTAAGCATATATATCTATAATAATGCGCGATGCATTTTGTGCCGATCAGCGATTGATGGTCACAATTGATATAGATATATAATAAAAATTGTATAAAAATCTCTATTTACACTTCTTTTAAACATGTCGTTTTATATATCTATAATAATGCGCGATGCATTTTGTGCCGATCAGCGATTGATGGTCACAATTGGTATAGTTATATAATAAAAATTTGTCGTGTATAAAATTTTATTTATATATATTTTTCTTTTAACATGTCGTTTTATATATCTATAACAATGCGCGATGCATTTTGTGCCGATCAGCGATTGATGGTCACAATTCGTATAGATACATAGTTTGATTTAGATGGCCACATTTAGATAGATTGAGATAACCACATTTAATGTACAGTGTATACTGTGGTGGTCAACAATTGATAAACACCAAATGGGTATTTGTTATAAATTTTTGTTAACCGTCACTAACTCGTTGACTCAGATCGTTGAGAAAAATTTTGTTCAAATATATATATTTTCTTAATTATCCACATTTCTTTGTGGGCACACAAAAATATTTGCACTTTCATTTCCACTGGTATATTTTATTTTACTTTGCCCCTTGGCTTACCCGAATTATTACATAGTAACTACTATGATGATCTCGCTGAATTTCATCCTTGGTTCTTTTAAAAACCGGCTGCGCCAATTATAGTCGAAGGCCGGATCTGGCTGGTGTAGATTAGAGGTCCGATCTGGCTGGCGTAATTAGAGGTCGGATCTGGCTGGTGTAGGCTGTCGAGTTAGGAGGTTTCGGTAATGAAAGACTTATACTTCCAAGTGTCACTCTAAGACTGATTTTTATTTCTGGTTTCAAATACAATGAGAGCTTCGTTGCGGGTGGGGTACATATGTTGAGGTTGCGAAATCTCCTAGGTCAGCGGTTTCGGCCGGATGCCCGAGACCCAGTTGTTTACACGATCCGGCATCCAGAAACCGCTGCGTTGGCGATCCTATGTCCGGGTTGAACGGCATCGCCGTTAGTGGGACAATGCCCGAGGGGGTTTGGGTAGAGGTGATGTCATCGGGAAGACATCAGCGGTAACTCGCGCGGGTCAGTGTGGGCCCGCTGCGGCCAAGCCGCTCTGCAGTGGCGGAACCGTTTTGCTTAAACAATTTCAATTTGCAAATTTGATGCCATTTGATTCGTAATTAGCGACCCCGAAAAAATGCGTTCCGGTGAATATTTGAAATCTATGAAATTCGACATACAATTTTGCAATTATAGTTTAAATTTTCAAACGCATTTTCTTCGAAACCATGTTTTTTGAGTTAGTGGAAGTCCTACAGGTAGCAAAAGTTGAACAATCGTCGTGAATTCTTGGTACCAGAATCGTCTGAATTGAAATTTTTTTTTTTTAACTAATAAATCATACTTAAAAAAAAAAAATTCTAGAAATAACAGCAGGTTTTGCGGCCAACAGATTAGAAAACCCCCTTAATAAATATCTAAATATGTGTAATGCATCCATTTCTTCTTCATCTTTTACAAGTCTTTTTATATCATCGGAATGTATTTTTATTATTGTAATTAATTTATTAAAACCTTGATTTTAAATCATCATGCATTTAGACTTTTTGGGGATTAAGGCTAGACTATTAGCATTGTGCAGCTTCTGAAGAGGCGAAAACCATTGTTTTATCTGGGATGCCAAAATTTTCTCAAATGCTTTGGAGAGATATGGAAGAATAGCTATAGGCCTATATTCATTCATTCCCTTAGGTGTTGGAATTATTTTCGTAATTTCCATAGTTCAGGGAAGGTTGAAAATGTTATTGCAGAGTTAAATATATGTGTTATTAGTGGCAATATCTGAGGCAATAGAATTTTTAAAAATTTTGTATTGATATCGTCGAAGCCTGTAGCGTTAGATTTCACTTTTAATATTGTGTCAAGGACGTCCCATTGAGTAACACATATAAAGCTAAACCTATTATCACAGTTGACCAGAGTAGTCATGTTCAGATACGAGTTAGAGACTGGTTCAACTGGTTCAATTGCAACCGCCCCCCATAGCCATCACGATCAGATCTAAAAAAATGATATCCACAATACTCAGGAATAAGATCAGACATACCCGGGACAAACCATGTTTCTGAAACACAAATGACATCCACAATAGATTGAACAAACATATTTCCAAATTCATAAATTTTCTGAGTTAGTTTGGGCATTGATGTGACATACCTTAAGCTCCTTATGGCGATTACTAAGGATGTTAATCATTGCCTGGCTGCTAATCTCTGATAATTCTAATTTGAGTTCACCGCCCATCTTAAAACTGATATACCAAACTCAAACTGAAGCGCTCCACATAAAATAAAGCGTAACCCACACACCACACCTAGAATTTCTAGAAAATTACTACAAATTAAAAAAAAATTAAAATTAAAGATCAATAGCATAGTTGAAAGGAGTTCCCGGGTTCTGCGTCTTGCTGAGTAGTGGCATCAGACTGGTTGGAGATGTAACTCCGTTGTGGAGCAATATCGATAAGTTTTTGAAGACTTTCGATGGGGATGGCTTCCCCTCCGGCTTGATGTTTAATTAGCACCAGACCCCTACGGGAAAAGACTGCTGCTAGCCGCCGAAGTTTTTGAGACGCATCGCTTGTTTGAAAATGGAGTAGTTTTGAGGAGTAGGTTGCTCATTTACATAGAACGGCGAAGCAACCTAAAAGCCCAAAAGCTGGAGATTTAGGGGTGCCTTTAAGCACGACGACATGCACCGATCCCTCGCAGAAGTGTCGCCTTGTCGCGAATATTTTCCATCTTTACAAGGATAACAGGGTCCACAACAGCATTTTGAAATTTTCTTCGAACTCTAAATATTGATTTTTTTCTTAGCGCTGGTGTGATTCCAAGTGAAAAACAAAGCGTGTTCAAAAGGGTCCAAGATTTTCAATATCTACAAATGGAATACCATGTATTCGTAGATCGCCTGCGACATCTTTATTGGCTTGGATCTTAAGACTGTTTGCAACCTCGCTGGGTAAGTTTTCGAGCTTGGAGGTCAGCCCTTTTACAACCGGCATCTTACATTCAAGGTCCATAACTCGCTGTTTTAGTTCAGCTATTAATGCATTAGCTGACGCTAATTCTTCTTGGAGAAACGATTTGATTCGTCTCTCGGATTCCTTCATCTGAAAAGTCTGCTCATCAAAGCGCTGGTTAATGAGGACCATGAGAGTTGATGATGAATGAGTGGGTACATCTAATTCTCGGACCTTTCTTTTCAGTTCAGTATTGTTTGAAGTTTCAGCTTCCATTTTAGCTTTTTTACATGTCCACCCATATTTATATAAACTAGTTCAGCGGTTAACAGTAGCACTGCTTTATCTGTGTTGAACTGCTTGCAGTTACGATTGGTTGTAATCCGGCAGCGCTAAACTCCCATTAACTCCGAAAATACAACTAGATATAATCTCTTACCAAACAGTTGCACAAACAACAACCCAAGCGTTTCCAGGTTATTTTAAATTGATTTTATGCCGTAGGTAACAGGTCAATTGCAAGAGTTGCAAGTTATTCGCGTGGCGACTGATTTCACAAACACAGTATCACTCAAATTCACTTATAGGTTGTTGTAAACAACACGGCTTAGATGAAAAGCTTGACGGAACGTTTTGTTGACGTCTGCTCTCTTTGACTCTCTTCATAGTAATTAAGTCTCGTTTTTGTCTTTGTGAAGAAATATCCCAGACGGAAGTTAGAGAACGCATTTCAAAAAAAAGCTTCTTTCATGCTTGCTTTGCAAGCGAAAAAGAATGTTAGAAGCTATAAAGAAGCATTGTTTATGCATTCTAAAGAGTTTGTGTGAAATCGTCCCTTCTACTACATATAATGCATAAAAAAGCCTTCTTTTGCTGAATTCGGCGAGTGAAATAGCTATCCCTCTTTGTGTTTGTGTGGATTCATATGATTTTGCCACTTGTCGCTGCACGCAAAATTTGATAAAATTTTAGAATTTAACTGGCTCATGATGAAGGACAAGACCACCACACCAAATAGCCGATAAGTAGCAGCTGGACCTATGCGCGTGCGTCTTTATCATCATATAGTAACACCCTAGCCATCTACTCGTTACAGTAGTTAGGGTTTTAAACAGTATTTCCTCATGATCACATTCCAGCTTTTTAGCCTTCCTGTTTTCTAGAATGATTCTGTAAATTTCTGTGAGAGATGATTGCAATCTTTCTACGGGTGAATTACTCGTTTATTGCTGGAATGATGTGACATGAGTAATAACGTCATATTGTTTGCAGAAGTCCACAAAAATTTTTCCTGAAAATTCGGCGCCCTGATCGAATACTAGTTTTGCTGGTATGCCTACAATGCAATTCCTTGCTGGAATTGTATAGGCGCTGGCAAATTTTGAGAATTTGTCAATCAGTTTTAGGATAGTTTGGCCATTTGTAGTATAAATATCCATGTGTACTATTTGTAAGGGTACTCCAGAGATTTCAGTTTTTTGATATATAAACTTTGGTGGTCTCCTGTCAAACTTGAGTGTTTGGCAAGTATCACATAAATTAATAATTTTTGTAATTCCTTGTTTCATGTATGGGAAGTAGATGGTTCTCTTTAGATGATGTAACGTTTCTTCTATTCCGCGATGATTATTCTTTAGATGATAATCACTAATTACAGACTCTTGTTCTTCTTAAGACGTGTTACAAAACATTTACATCTGATCAGTTTGTAGTCTTGAAAGTATGGAATGTAAGATTCTTCTAACAATTTAAATATTGTGTCGGGTGTGAAAATGTCTTGTAGCCTGTTAGGTGTTAAGATTTCTCGTAATATTTCGCTAATGACGTTTAGGTCAAAGTTATCTTTGGACACAATGCGTCTAAATTTGTTTTTGAACGAAATGGAATTTCTAGTTGTATTTTCGGCTCCGAGTTCAAATAGGTATTGTGATTTAAATTCATTTAGTGGTTTATCGGACGTACTTATGGGGTCTAAATTGGATAGTTGACTTTCTACACCACTGGAAATGCAATTCGTCCGCATTGTTACACGACTTAAGGCGTCGTTTATAAAAAAGGATCCAAAAACACTAGGATCCTTTTTTATAAACTACTTCATAGTCATATTCCAAGAGTTGGAGGTTCCATCTAACCAATTTTGAATTTGGTTCCTTAAAGTTTGTTAACCAGGTTAAAGTCCTGTGGTCAGTAACTATCTTGAATTTTTGACCAAACAGATAAGGTCGAAAATATTTTGTGGCCCAAGTAATGGCTAGCGATTCTTTCTCAACATTAGAGTAATTTTCTTCTCGTTCATTAAGTGTTCTGCTGGCAAATGATACCGGTATGTCGGACCCCAATGTTCCTTGCGACAGAACCGCTCTTAGCGCCACATTACTGGCATCCGTGGTTTATAAAAAGGTTTTTTGAAATGCGGGTATCTTAGTAAAGGATCGTTATAAAGCAATGTTTTACGTGAGATTTTTTTAAATCTTCGGTTAACAATACCGGCGCCTTCCCTTTTAGCTGTTGCGTCATGGGTTTGGTTATTTTTGCAAAATCCTGAATAAACTTCCTATAGTAGCCCAAAAGGCCGAGAAAAGATTTTATCTCCTTTCTAGTGGTTGGGATTGGGAAAACCTTTATTGTCGCAATTTTCTTCGGGCTTGGCTTAATACCATCTTCTGTGACAATACGTCCTAAATACACTATTTCTTTGTGTAGAAACTCAGATTTGTCTGGTTGAATTTTTAAGTTAGCGTGACTTAATCTGCGAAATACGGAGTTTAACTCAGCGATGTGTTCTTGTAGGGAAGGTGAAAAACTATAATGTCGCCTAAGTAGACTAAACAGCATTCTCCGTTATGGTCAGCAAACACGTTGTCCATCACTCTTTGGAAAGTTGCCGGAGCGTTTGTAAGACCGAATGAATATGAATAAACTCGTAATGTCCTCCTTGTGCCGTGAAGGCTATCTTTGGCGTGTCTTTAGGTTCCATTTCAT